TTTTTTTAATAACAAAGGCAAATAAAATCGTTTTATATATGTACATAAATAATAATAATCGATATTCATTCATGGCTTGTATATATAAATGAGAGAAAGCCATGTTATATTTGTAAATAAGGTTTTAAAACTATTGAATACGGATGGGTAAAGCTACTACATAGAATATTATTTCTCTTCTGGTATAAAAAGTTAATCATATCATCTCGTCAAGCAGCATGAGTTCAAACAAAAAAAAACAAACAAACAAACATACATACATACATACAATCTCTGTCCCTTTATAATATGTATTATAATAGTATAGATAATAACGGTATAAAATACTCTAAAAATTCGCAATAAACTTTGATATTGATGAATTAGCACTTAGACGTTTTTATTATTCAGTACAATCCCTCTCAGAACCTCGTTCTATGTTAGGAAATATCTTCCACTTACGGAGGGTGAAGTGCTAAGCCAAGAATCCATTTGCAAGAATTTGAGAAAGCAGAGTTTGTTGCATTCATTGGGTGAACTTTTGTTATGATTTTTTATAGTATAGAATTATTCAGATCATTTGTGAAGTAATAATATTGTGTAGGTATAGGGATGGTGAATTTAGATTTTTATGGAAAAATCTCAATTTTAGCTACTTCCAGGCAATACTGTGTCTTATCAAAGTTGAATGAGTGGTATTGTCTTTCTGTATGAATATTTCAAACGATGCTCATCTCACAAAATAATCTGGTTTCAGATCTTCATAGCAGTTCAGAAATAAAGCAAAAAATGATTTCTCTGAATAACTTTTATCGAAATAATTGATTTAAATATAGGTACATGTATATTGTTTATTTGTATTTAGCTCTTTATAAATTTTTAGATATAAATATCATTGAATTTCGACGCTGAATTTTCATTTGTTATTTGCATCAAGCCATTGACATTAGACTTAATGAATGCATCGCTTTTAAATGCCAAAACTTGAGTCATTTAGTTTGTAGCAAGTCTTTTTTACAACTTAATCAAATTAATTCAACTCTATACACCAATAGGTAATATTTAAACACACTTTATGACAGTCATTAAAAGCTTTTTCCTTATTGACAATAACGAAAATCAAGGTCAACTACTATTATCTATACATATAATAAAATTGTAACTAAGCCAAATCTGTACATTAAATATATATTATTTGTTAAATATTATTTAAATAAACATTATTATCGATACAGAGGCTGAATCTATAGTTTTTAGAATTTTTGTCTGTCTGTCTGTCTGTCTGTGATCGCATCACGGAAAAACCTGAAACCTGAAAAAAATGGATTTTGATGAAATTTAGTAAGGTGATAGCTGGTTATCCGAGTCAACATATAGAAATATTGTATTAAGATATTGCGAAAAATACCTCATCTCTTGGAAAATCTATATTAAACGTTAAAACGTAATTAGAGACGAACCTGAGCGGAGCGAGGGTGAATCGCTAGTATATTATATTAGTATTATTTAACAAATTGTTTGAAGTAAGCATATTGATATAGCTTTTTAATGGTGATCATGTTGATGGTTTACCCTTAATTTGGGAAAATGCCAACATGAAAGCTCATTTAGTTAAAAATGTTATTTACTACCTAAAGATATTTAAAATAAACTGCTTAATTTGAAATAAACTTTACAACTAATATTGTAAACGAGATTTATTGTCAAAGATGTACATATGTTTGTTACGGTTTAACGCAAAATATACTGAACGGATTTTGATGAAACTTTACAGTAGATACATCAGAGATACAGCTTATACATCAGAGTAAAATCTAGAGATATATTATGAAGATATAGTATTGCATATAGAATGTATACGGGTGAAGCCGTCGGGAAAACGTTAGTATGTAAGTGTATAAGAACTAGGAATGAAGTATGGGTTTTTAGAATGAAGCATTTTGCTCTATCTTGCAAGCTATGAACTGTACTCGTATAAGCTCCTTATAGTATTAAATTTGAAATTTTCTTTAGAAATTTATTAAGGTTATATAATTTTAGTTATTTTTCCTTTTACTAAGACAAACGAACAAATATATTTCACAACTATCATAAGTATAACTAATAGCTAAAGATGATGGACTATGATATCTATAACCTACCCACAAAACCTTTGAATGAATTTAATTTAAATGACATCTAATGCGGAATATTTATCTTTCCTAAGCTTCGTTATTTGTATAGATTTCATACTTATATTAACATTTACCTAAAACTATTTTTACCGCCGTACATGTCTGTGTCTTCCAAATTATTGTTTAATGTCAAAAACCTCTCCCTTTACCATGTACGAGTATGTATGTATGTTTTAAGCATTCAAAACGGGAACTAAAACTAAAACCGTGCAAATAATATGAAAATGTAGTTTTATTTAGAATATGAATATTTGTAATTAATTAATTTAATTAGTGTGGAAAGTATCTGTCTATACCTGTACTCGTAGGACGTAGGTGTTTATGTACCCTGCATTCCGTTGCGTCCTAGATCTCTCGCAGATGTTGAAAGCAAACATTTCAATAACACTATATGAAAAGTAACGTCATGTATTAGAGTAGTGAATGTAGCAAAATATTGATATCAAAATAATATCACTTTTTATATGATTTACTATTTTTTTTCTAAAATAAAAAGTATTTAAGTTACTCCTTATAACATTAGCTATCTGACAGTGAGAGTCTCGCAAGATCGGACCAGCTTTTTCGGAGATTAACCGATACAAATAGACAAAAAAATTAAAAGTTGTATTTTTCTTAAAAGTACCCTATCTAATAATTTCCATATGCATTTAGTAAAAGGCTGTTATTTTGACATTATAAACAGACACTTCAATTTTATTAATCTGTAGGTATAGATTAATAAATATGGGAAAAATTATTTTTCGTCATGTCTATCTGTCCGTATACGAGTATACCTATGTCACAAACATTTTTCTCGAAGACTATATTTTGCGCTTTGATACTGGTTGGGATAGAAGATTGTGAAACGGTAGACAATGATCTGTCAAACTAGGAAAAATAAAAAGATAAATAGGTTTTTTCGTAAGCCATTGTTGTCAACTTATGTGCTTCTAGTCATAAACATTGTGTTGTCAAGTTTATAAGTTTGTTCATTTCTTATGTTTTTGTATTTTGGCCACTATATGTAAAATGAGGTGGAATAGTTTTTAGGCTTGCCACGTTAATAACAGAAAGTAGACTTGTACACTGGATAAATATCCTTCTTATGAATTAATATTCATCGACCGGCATGTTTTTTTGTGTATGTCTGTTTTTGTGTATGTCCTTAAGTACTCGATATGAATTATTTATAAGTGCTAATGGATAGATATTAAATGACAGTTACGTAGTTATTTTATCATTTATAGTAGGTATTAACTAGTGATATGATCTGGTTTTGCGCGAGTGCGTCCTTAGGTGCTTTTATATTTATAATACTATGTACAAGTAGCGCCACCTTTTGGGGTTTTTTGTTACTAACAATAGCCTTAAGTGTTTCTTCAGGTCAGACTCGTTTTGTCAGGTCAGACCTGTTTACTAACTTTCGTACAAATCCGTCCAACCGTTTCAGCGTGAAAGAGTAACAAACGGACACACGTACAAACTTTGCAAAAATAAAAATAGTGCAATTAAATAAATTATTATTATAATTGAAAAATGTGTTAGCAATATTAATTTTTGTACTATATTCATTTTTATTAGGGCATATTTTGAAATTATATTTATATATTGCCTCTGCTAAGTCAGCGTGGATTGTATTTACGTAACACTTGTGCAAAACTTACCTAACCTGGACAGCTCGTACTGAAAGCTCGATAAAATCGATACTCGCTTAAACGTTACATAAACTATAACCTTTCACATGTCTCTTTATGCTTATGGCATTTTATTAAATGACTTCTTGGTAAGAGTATGGCTGTATGATGTGCAGTATTAAATGTTTTATTCGTCGTATAATCGTTATTTAATACGTGTTCAATATGTCAGAGAGTGGCGTGGCGGTTTAACTGACACTGCCGTTTAAGCGAAGATCTCACCAGTCTATCTGGAATTTTGTATATCTATTTTGATTATTTATTCTATTATCATTTTAGTATACTCTTACATTACAGTTTTTGTATTTTTTCTCAGAAATGTAAAACCTAAGAATATGGTTTTTGGTCATCTTAACGCTGGCGGAGCCGCGGACAATGCTAGTATTTAATAAATGCATACCGTAAGTCAGATATGTACATTGTACATACGTATACCATTTATCTGTAAGGACAGGTTGTTAGTTAGATATCCAGAAATAGAAATAAACGCCAACAAAGAATAATTACCTACGACGTACCTAACGTAGGAAATGTTGACGTAGAAATGACACAGTACATAGGCGTACACATGCACATCAAGTTAAGACGTTTATTTAAAAAACAATTTTACAACTCAGTTTAGTTTCTGTTGCTTGTATTACTAAACTTCACGCGCTACTTCCTTTACGTTTTAAGATGGAAATCTTAGACTAGATCTGATACTCGTAAAGCTCATTTACACAATAATAGTTCGGTTTCATCAATGTTGGTAGGTTTTTTGCTTTTGTGAGAAATTGTAATAGGTACTCGTTATAAATTAAAACTGTTCTTCCACAACCAAAATATAACAAATCGTTAAGCGATGTTTCCCAACTATTGCTTCTTACTTGTGTGCCAAAGGCACAAACTGATATAGTGCTATTATAGCTCTCCATATATCCATTACCTATTAATGGACTAACAATCAGGTATATGTTATATATGTACATACTTCAATTTCCTTTTGGTCACTCACACTTGATATTCAGTAGGTACAAACTTATTAAATTTCACGTAAGCATATGTCTACAAATGTCTACAAAACTCACGGTATATGATTTAGGAATGAATATGTTGCAAGTAGACAAACGTACCTATATATTTATATATACTTATACATTTTTATTTATATATTTAATTTTTTTGCTTACAGTGAGCAGTCGATAAGCAGCGCACGCGCATCTGTTATGGTGTACGACGACAATATGAAGCGATGGATCCCATCGGGCTCCAGCTCGGGGCTATCCAAAGTGCACATCTACCACCATACCCAACACAACACATTCAGGGTTGTGGGGAGGAAGCTCAATGATCATGAGGTGAGTCCCAAGTGTCATTGACATAATATGTTATATGACGGCAAGTGGTTAGCGGGTACGATTTTTTTATGGTGCCTCTTAGATGAATCATTCAAACGTTGATCCGCTATATGGGTGACAATTGAAACGCTGTGATGGAAACTACGCCTATTAAACATGTATATTAGGGCGACCCAAAAAAAAGGATTATTTTTTTTTTCATGTCTCGTGTGAAAATATGTTAGTTTACTATGTTTTAAGAGTCCCCTCCAAAGGACAGCTCAAAAAAAAATTTTTTAAAGGTCGCTCACAATTTTTTTAAATTTCCTAAATCCTCAAAAATCGATTTTTTTTTCAAATGCTTTTTCTCGTAATTTCATTTCTTTTTACATGAAAAATTATGAAGATCCTGAAAATTTCAAGTCAAAATTTTAATATTTAGAGGTCGCTACAATTTTTTTAAGTTTTCAAATCGAGTACTTTATATCTATTTGAGCAACTTCTTAACATGAATATTAACGAACTTAATATTTTTTTCCTTAAATTTCACATGCTAAAGAATGAAATTAAAGCACGAGAAACAAAAAAAAATTATCTCGTGCTTTAATTTCATTCTTTAGCATGTGAAATTTAAGGAAAAAAATATTAAGTTCGTTAATATTCATGTTAAGAAGTTGCTCAAATAGATATAAAGTACTCGATTTGAAAACTTAAAAAAATTGTAGCGACCTCTAAATATTAAAATTTTGACTTGAAATTTTCAGGATCTTCATAATTTTTCATGCAAAAAGAAATGAAATTACGAGAAAAGCATTTGAAAAAAAAAACGATTTTTGAGGATTTAGGAAATTTAAAAAAATTGTGAGCGACCTTTAAAAAATTTTTTTTTGAGCTGTCCTTTGGAGGGGACTCTTAAAACATAGTAAACTAACATATTTTCACACGAGACATGAAAAAAAAAATCCTTTTTTTTGGGTCGCCCTAATGTATATATATTTATTATTTATACATAAAAATTTACAGCTACTCCGTAGTGCTTTTGTCAATCAATTCTTTCCCTGATAGGTCAAACAATAGAAAGATACCTATTGTGGGTGTTTGTTGTCAGTTTTATAATATATGTACTGTTTTTCTGTCACAAGTGATTTACACATCCAAATAAAATGTCAATTATTATCTATACTCTATCATAATTATTGATATACACGGACTCACCTTCGCTGGGCTTCGTCCCTAGTTACGTTTTAACGGTTAGTATTAATTTCTCTGAAATGAGATATTATCTCACAGTAAAAGGTTTTCTATATGTTGACTCGGATAACCAGCTATCATTATACCAAATTTCATCAAAATCTTACCAGTGGTTTTCTCGTGATGCAATCCCAGACACACAGACAGACAAAAGTTCTAAAAACTACAGATTCGGCCTCTGTATCGATAATAATGACTATTTCAATAAGATTTTACAAAAAATATTTAATGTGCATGTTTCCCTCAAAATTTTATTATATACATATAGATAAACGATTGTTTTTATTTTTTTAATTAATTTATTATGGTTCTCAATTTTACATTTTTGCAACGAACACTTTGGCATTTCGGCCGTCCGCTCTGTAGTTCGCGCAGTTCGTTACTATTTGAAAAAAACGCACAATTTCTAAATGTGCGCTTTTCTTGAAGACACTTTTGAAATGCTCATTGAGTTTTTGTACATCAATGATCACAATAGATAATAGTAGTACCTACTTGATAATAGTATATATTTTCTAGAACTTTATCTAACTAAAGCTTCTTTCTTTTTCATTTCCATTGTTGATTTCCATAATATCTTTTTTTCCTGTTTATATTTCAGGTGGTTATAAATTGTGGGATAGTTCGTGGATTAAAATACAACCAAGCGACCGCAACTTTCCATCAATGGCGCGACGCTCGACATGTATATGGGCTTAATTTCTCTTGTCGTGAGGATGCTGACAGCTTTGCGAGGGCCATGATGCACACTTTAGAGGTACGTTTATTTAAAATCATAAGCTATTGAGGCAGTGGTAGCCCAGTGGTAACGCGTCCGCTTGGGAAACCGAGTGAAGCGTGTTCAAATCCCGGGTCTCGCACTTCTGATATTTTCATGTGCTAATCATTTTCCAACATGATTACAACTTTTCTTACGTGAAAGAAAACATCGTGAGGAAACCTGCATGTCTGAGAGAACCTAGCAAGTTTTCGAAAGACATGTGCAGTTCGCCAACACTTGGCTAGCGTGGTAGAGTAAGACCTGATCCCCCTCGTATTGAAGGGGGGCCCGTGCCCAGCAGTGGAACGTTAAAGAGGGCTGAATGCATACAAGTTATTACAAAAGGTAAACAACGTGCCGAGTGATAGTTGGTTGTACCAGTTTATTTAATTTGATATATAATTTGGCGGATTCCGCCTATATAATTCTTAAATGGCTCTCCTATAAGTCACGAAAGAAAAGAATTGAATTTTTAGTGCAAAGTAATTATTGAAGTAATTATTTCGTAATTTTAGGCCACCTTATTTTTACACTGACGAAATAAAGGAATATTCTATGAAACTGATACCTTTGTACAAGAAGTTAGAAAGAACAGTGTTAGGTTTTGTAATATAATTTAGTAAATTGCTAAAAGTAAAAAAAAAACTTAGGATATTCAAAAGCTCTTGGATAACGTCATATTGATTTTCTTTCAAAGGATTTTTTACAAGTGTCAAATTTATTGAAATTAAAGTAACACTGATAATATTTTTAAACTCCCCGTACTATGTAATGTTGAATAATAATAACGCCCTTGAGAATAGTCAGCTGTGCAGGACTTATTATGATGCAGAATAATAAGGCACAGACCGACAGATTAACGTACTCTCAAAGCCACGGAAGTGTACCACCGACACCACAACTCCGGGCTGCTACTGAATATTTCATGACAGAAAAACTGCTTAGACCCGACTCGGAACTCGAACCCAGGATACAGGTTACTAGACCAACGAAACTAGGTACAAAGCTCGGTCACTATTGTCTGGTGGTTATAAACCAAATAAAATTTAGTATATGAAATTATGTATATGTAAATTTTATGATGTCCTCCTGATCGATTCCGGCCACGGCGGCCAATCTCATTGGGACTAGCCAACTGCGCAGGAGATATTATAGTGCACAAGTGTACGCGCAGATACAACGTGCACTCTCTATTCCTGTCACTCTCGTACTCCGGTGGGACGACTGCTCAATACGACCAGTGAGAGTTAAGGCGCAGGACCGACGGCTTTACGTGCTCTCCGAGGCACGGTGGTGAAACACCGCCAACTTAGCAACTCCGGGCTGTTACTGAGGCTTTACTATACAGAAAGACTCAATAACTAAACTTGGCCGGACCTGGGATTTTAAGTAAATTTTATACTGTGAAGCCTTGTGGACAAGTTGCGCAGTCAAAGTTAATAACCGCTTTTAAGTCAATTTGTCACAATATATGCAAACTGGTTTCATTGACAGACAAAAAAGAAATAAAAAGACCGATCGTTTGAAAGCAGAAATGACTTAGAGACAAAATTAGGTCATACAGTTCATTTTTTGTTCTAACCGTGGGGACAAAGTGGTTGGAGGTTGTAATTTGTAATTGATTTTTTGTTTGTTCTTTTCAATTTTGTGGTTATTTAGTTTAACAGTGTATGAGGCTTTCATTTTGATATTAGGTTTCTTTGTTTGAAATTAGAAATTCTCATAAACAAAATTGAAGCTGGTCGTGTTTAATCCCCGTGCCTCGAAGAGCACGTGTCGCGTCGGTCATGCGCCTGATCTCTCATTACAAGTATCGAATTGTTGTCCCAAGAGTGTTTGAAAACGTAATTGAGAGTGCACTTGTTGGTGTATGCATGCACACTTGTGCACTATAATATCTCTTGCACAAATGGCTAGTCTCAGTGAGATGAGGCTAAAATTGTGTGTAACGTGACTGCAAAGTTAGTCAAACTAATAATATCATGTTATTAGTTTGATTAAATAATATCATGTCAAATCGTTTCATTATTACGTTTATGAAAAACAAACCAACTAACTTCCTAATCTAATTATTTATAAATAAATATATTAGGACATTTAAAACACAGCACCATCTAGTTCCATGATAAGCTACGAGGCATGTGTTATGGATACCAGATAGTTGACACTACACATAATTTTATGATTTTAAATGCATACGTATTATAAATATAAACAAACACCCATGACTGGAGTACAAACATTCGTGCTAATCACACAAATGAATGCTCCCAGTAGAACTCAAACCCGCGACCGCTGGAACAGCAAGTAGGGTCACTACAAACTGAGCCAAACGTGTCGTCAAATATACGAGTTATATTTAAACTAGTTTTAAATAAAATAGTGTGGCGTAGTGCTGTATCGCATCCGAATATGGAAATATCGAAACTATCGAGCGGCACTTACATAATGCATTCGTATATGTACATAGGTACATAGAAAATTTTAGTCTCGGTTAAACGTGTGTATGGCATAAACAAGTTGACAAATCAATATGCGCAGCTAATGCATTCAATTGCAATAAAACCAAAACATAAAATTGATCAGCATAAAAGGATTTAGTAATAAAATTTCATATTATAATAGAATACAGTTTAAAATAGCAAAATCGGTCCAGTCGTTTAATAGAAATTGGTACAAATACATAAAAAAACAAACCATACAGACAAACATAGTAAGTACCTTTCCCTTTTTGGAAGTCGGTTAAAAATGGTTGCCTGAGAATGTGTGTGGATATTTTTCAAAAAATGAACTTGTTTACACACTGTTTACGGCTAGCTGATTTTAAAAAATATTTTGCATTTTAAAGCTTATTAAATATTAATTGAATAACGCTATATAAGCTGGTCTGTCTAGTATCAACTAACAAAAGTTGATAAAATTTAAGGCCAAGGTATTTGCAAGCGAAATATGGTCTGTAATACTAAATTAATTTATAGTCTACTAACGACTCACCCTTGCTTTGCTTCGGGTTCGTTCCTATACAAAAACAAATCTATCCCTCGGGAACCGTACCGTCTTCCGGGATTTTACATAGCTTTCCTCAATAAACGTGAAAAAGAATTTTTCAAATCGGATTAGTAGTTATTGAGATTGGCGCGTTTAAATAAACAAACAAACCTACCTACCTCTTTATAATATTATAGTATAGATAATACTTAATTATATGTACTCTTACTTTAGTACATAATATATACCATGTATATTGTATATCAAAATCTCCATATCTTTTCAGATCCTAGCAAACAAAGTCGTTAACAATACAGCGCCACCCCCGCCCCAAGCCCCGAACCCGCCAGTACCGTACAATGGACACAATAACACGCATTATGACGAAGATATGGGTTACAGGTGAGATAGTGTATAACCAACTTTGAAGGAGGAGTGTTAAATGTTTTGCTGTTTATGTTTATTTGGGGAGAAGGTACCTGGGCTTGTAAAATTGGGTTTTTCCGGAAAAGATATAGAAGTTGCGCTTTTTTTCAGAAAAGACTCCTCCTAAAAGTTGATTTAAAAGCAAAACCTTATCTAAATATAAACTTTGATTCAAATGTCCTGCGCATACATAGTAAAAACAAAGTGTAATTTGATAGACACTAGGTCATTTCATCGATCAAAAAAGTACTTAATACACAATCAGCGGCAAAAAATGTCCTCACCGAATGAACGCTCATTTGAATATTTCAGCGCGCTTTGAATTTTTTTTTGTGGAAACAACTTTATGGCTTGCGCTTAAGGTTCAATTTTCATTGTTGTATTATGTATATTTATTTCAACTAGAATAATTGGTGACAGTTTTAAGAGAACTTTTGCTTGGGATTGTGTATCTACTACTTTTTGTTTGATGTTAAAATTACATTTAAGTTATACCTATGTATATTGTCCGCTTATATTTTGTTTTGATTTTCTTATCTCAGAACAATGACAAGAGAAGACGCGGCGATACTCCAACAGCCACAATACCACGCTCCTCACCACCAGCCGCCGGTACAAATGCAGGTGCAGGTCCAACACCAACCCCCCCACCAGCCCCACCACCACCAGCCGGCCAGCCAGTATCATGCGCCCCATCATCATCATCCGGTGGGTGGTCATTGATCATCATTGTCATTGGGTTATTATTGGTCATCAGTAGTTTTTTTTGAAAACCAAGTGGAACAGGTTTAAATCCCGCACCTCTGATATTTTCATGTGTAAATCATTTCCAACAAATCTCACTCGCTTTACGGTGAAGGAAAACATCGTGAACTTGCACGTCTGAGAGAACCTAGCAAGTTTTCAAAAGACATGTCCGTCCGCACTTGGCCAGCGTGGTGGACTATGGCCTGATCCCCCTCGTATTCAAGAGAGGCCCGCGCCCAGCAGTGGGACGTCAAAAAGAACTGAATACATTACGGTGAAGGAAAATATCGTAAGGAAATTTGCTCGTATTAGAGAAAGTGTTTTCAAAATATTTGTAAAGCCTGCTACCCACAATTGGACTACGGCCTGATCCAACTCAAATTTAGGGGATGGCCGCGCCCAGCAGTGGGACGATAAACAGGGCTGATATTAGATATTAATTCAATTAGATTATCAGACTTGTGAGTTATCATGCAGAATCATTTATAATCATTAAATATTAATTTAAATAACAAACACCAGCCATTGAATATCATGCGCCACATCATCACCTCTTTATAAATTAAGTTTCATTAGAATTTTAGGTTTCTTCGAAATCATGTCTATGAAAACAGGACGATGTTTGACGACACGTTTGGGTCAGTTTGCAGTGACCCTACTTGCTGTGCCAGCGGTCGCGTGCTCGAGTCCCTCTGGGATAATTCATTAGTGTGACGAGCACGAATGTTTGTATTCCAGTCATGGGTGTTTATATTTATAATATGTATGTATTTAAAGTGATATATTATGTGTAGCGTAGCAATTATCTGGTATCCATAATACAAGCCTCGTAGCTTATCATGGAACTAGATGGTGCTGTATGTTAATGTCTCAACATATTTAATTTAATATTTATTTTTAATAGGTTTTATTACATTTTCCAGCAAGCTGCAGTGACGAGCGCGCCGGCGCCGCCGCCGCACGGCGTGCACACGCTGCCGCACGCGCCCGCGCCGCCGCACGGGCACCACCGTACTAACAGGTTTGTTATTTTTTTATACTGGGGTTTGTATTGGTTATAGATACAGCAGTAATCTAATTTATTTTAATATTTTCAATTTTAAAAAGCCTTTTTTGCCGCCACTACTTCTAGGTCAAATGAACCAAGTTCAAATTTCGTCCCGTTTTGTCTCGACACCTCTATTATATATTTTCATTTACGAATCATTTTCAACATGATTAACACTTGCCTTACGGTGAAAGGAAACATCATAAGGAAACCTACATGTCTGAGAACCTAGCAAGTTTTCAAAGGACATGTGAAGTCCGCCTGCACTCGGCCAGCGTGGTGGACCTGATCCCCTTCGTTTTGAAGGGAGGCCCTAGCCCAGCTGTGGAACGTTGAAAAGGGCTGAATACAACACATAGGCATCTGTTAGATACCTAGGGACGAGAAGAAAAATCGAAACCACTTCGGCTAGTATAAATAATGATTTGTTTTTCCCAATAATTTCCAGTGCGCCAATGCCGCCGAACATGTCGCTGTCGGCGGCCATGGGCGCGCCGGCGCCGCCGCCCGTGCCGCCGCACCAGAACCTGCCGGCGCCGCCCGCGCCGCCCGCGCAGCCCGCGCAACCCGCGCCACCCAACGTATGTACTGATATATATACTTATAAAGAGGTAAAGTTTGTGATATTGTAGGGGGTAATCTATGGATCTACCAAACCGATTTAGATGAAATTTGGTAAGAAGATAGTTTGAGACGTTGGAAAGGACATAGGATACTTTGTGAGTTGCTAGTACTTATATGAAGTTGTTTATAAGAGTGGAACGAAAAAAAAATGATTTTTTTTCTTAGCTTAAGCTTACAATACAAACTATCCGCAAGCTAAGAAAAAAAAATTTTTTTTTCGCTCCACCCTATTGTTTATATACCTCAGATCGATAGCGTTCCTAATGCTATTTTCAGACATCATACCTACTAACAGATAGGTAGGTAGGTAGGGTCATCGTGAAAAGAAATGACAACCTAAACCCACTCACTTTTTAATAATTTTCACCAATATAGTTCTAGGTAAACGATAGGTATAATTCAATCTGTAGGCACATATAAAAATATTGCAATGAGTTAAGAACTTTCTTTTCTTTTTTTTCTAAAGTCGGTTTAGTTATTACAAATATTTTCTGTTTTTATATATATAATATTGTAATTTTATTCGCAGGGTCCCATAGCACCACCGACGCCGCCCGCCGCGCCACAGCCACCGCCCATGGTAAATATATAATACACATTAGCGCATTCATTTACAAAAAATAGAACATATCTAAATAGTTAACTCATTTATTATCAAACCAAGTTTAGTTATTGAGTTTTCTGTTATAATAATAAAAATATTAATAGACATGTGAAGTCTTAATTAGCCAGCGTGGTGGACGACGGCCTGATCCCTCTCGTATTGAAGGCTCGTGCCCAACTGTGGGACGTTAAAAAGGGGCTGAATACAATACAATAATATTGAAAAAAAAATATATTTTCTTATCTCCACAGCAACAGCAGCCCCCGCCCCAGCCGCAGGCGCCGGCGCCCCCGCCGCCGCCGCCGCCTCCGGGCGCCGCCCCCGCCGGCGCGCCGGGCGCCGCCCCCGCGGCCGCGCCGGCGCCCGCGGGCCCGCCGCCGCCGCCGCCGCCACCGCAGCCCCCGCCGACCCCACGGGGCTCGCCGCGCAGCTGCAGCAGGCGAGGCTCAAGAGGCAGGCCAAGGTGAGTGGAGTTTTGAGGTTTTTTTTTATAATGCGTTTGGTTTATTTGGATTTGGGAATCGTTTTTTTTTATTTTTTTTTTGAACCGATCGAAATAAAAAAAATACTAAATGTTAAGTGAAGCTTACCACAATATACTAGTGAAAGCCGCATCCAAATTAGATAAGCCGTTTCTTAGATTAGCGCGCGCAAACGCTCAGACAAACAGACAAAAATTCTAAAAATCATTGTTTCGGGTTTTATTGCGTAAATAAAGACCCCCCAATGATAGTTTTTCTCAAATATCTTCCATGTACAGACAGCGATCAGTTACACTTTTATTATATGTATTATGTATAGATACAGATAAATATCTTTATTTCAGCAGCAGCAGCAGCAATCTGCGGCAGCTGCGGCTGCGGCGACGGCTGCGGGCGAGGCGTCGCCGCCGGGCGCCGAGCAGCCGCCGAACGCGCGCGGCAACCTGCACTGCATGATGCACGAGATGCAGCGCACGCTGGCGCGCCGCCGCGCGCACCTCGCGCACCTCGACCGGAACACTAATGAGGTGAGCGGCGCGGGTACTAGCCGGTTTTGTTCTTTGTTGTTTTTTTTTTTATTTTGGTGACTAGGGTGTAGAATTGCTCAGCGAGAAATGTTGTTCTTTATTATTATTATTTTTTTTGGTGACAATACCGAACGAGGTTTTGTTTGTTTCTTTTTTTATTTTGATTTTTTGTGGCTAGGGTGTTAGCTCATTCAGTGTGTTGATCAGTTGCTTTATTTAAATTATACATAAATATGCCTTTATACTTTAAAAGTTAGGGAATTGTATGATTGTTTATTTTTTTATTGTTGGTGGCTTGAGTGTTAATAAGCCAAAATATACGTGATAATGGATACTTATTTTATAATACTTAAAAAGGGATACCCTTTGTAGCATGATCAGTATTTCGTCATTTTGTTTTATTCTAAGTTTGCCGCTTGGAAAGGACAAAAATAAAAGTCTGAGTATGGTGTACTAAAGTGTCTCGTATTTAAGATTTGAATTAACAAACTAACTGGGCAGGAGTCGTCTACGGAGAGCTCCGCGTCGTCGACGCCTATGAAGTCGTGGGAGCGCTCCGCCACGCTGCCGCACCGCCTGCCGCAGGCCTGCAACGGTAACGGCACACGTGAGTCGCTTCGCGCTTGTTATGTACACACATATATGTAATACCCCCACCCAATCCTTTAACAATATCTCCCTCTCCTTCCGCTTTCTCCTACAATATATCTTTACTTTTGCTCCGCGCTAATGCATATAATATACATATCGATACCTTATTTAGCAAACCAGCTCCATCATTCGTCAGCAACATCCATTATTATGAGCAAATTTTTCAGGAGACACTTAAAACTTATAATATTTTTTTACACGACTTATTTAAAAAATCTAAAAAACCGTTGGTAGGTAATATCGTAAACTTTTATTTTTGATACTGTAAAATCCTACTAAAATAATCCTACTTAATTACTGTTGCACACAATTTGAACCAAAAAATATTTTTTGTCGAAATGTGGTGTTAGCTGGTTTGCCAATTAAAGTATCGATATATGTATAGAGCAGCTATAAAAAGCATATAAGTACATATTGCTTTCAATGTCATTTTTTGTGTCAACGAATACTATCGATGGGTTATATTATATATATTATCTAACTTAGGAATCTCTAGCGTAAATATCTATACTATATAGATGTGTATGCCAGAGGTTCCAGGATCGAGTCCCGCTCAGGATATATAATAAACTAGTGACTTACTCTCGCTTCGATCGGGCGCTTCCTTAAGTAAGTTTTAATTTTTTGAGCGAAACTCTTAATTCTTTTTAAAATAATAGTTACCTAAGTTACTCTTTATTACAACAGCTATCTGCCAGTGAAAGGTCCATTAAAATCAGTCCAGCTATTTCGGAGATTCATCATCGATCGAACAGACAGGCAGACAAACATTTTAAAAACTGTGTTTTTTTTGCACTTGACACTTCAACTTCATTTATCTGTACGATAGATAATTGTATTGGACTTATTAGGTTTTTTTTACCGTTTTTATTGAAATTAGTTTTTTATCTGTTGATGTTTTCTCAATATTTTATTTTTCTTTTTTTTGTTAATGACGTAAAGCCAAAATAATGCAGTGAAAGATTCGTTAAAATTGTCAAATGTAATTAATATTTGCGAAAATCTATTAAAAGAAAATCTATTAAAAATGACATAGATTAATGAAAATCATATTATTACGAAGTCTGCTAGATGAAATGATTTTATTGTTTATTCTTCCATAGCTAATTCTGAAACTCCTGCGCCGGCGCAGTCGCCCCGCGCTGCGCGGAAACGCTTCGGCTCGGCCAGTGAAGAAACTATACTTAAGGTAAATTATTATAAGAGTTTACATTTGATAGCCTATCTACCTAATTTATTTTATTATTTTCAATGATATTTTTCCGAAAAATCGAACCTCCTTCTATTCGGAAGTCAGTTAAATAGTATAATCTACAATTTATATACTACTAGTGACTCACCTTCGTTCCGCTCGGGTTCGTCCTTAGTGAAAATTTAAGTTTGTATATATTTTTTAATGCCGCATCATTAAAAAATTAAAATATTTTTTTTTGTCAAAAAAATAAAATGAAATTTTTGGGTTTGACCACCCTTATCACTTTGAGGTATGAAAAATAGTTTACGTCCTATTCTCCGACTTACTGAATATACACACGAAATTTCATAAGCATCGGTCAAGCCGTTTCGGAGGAGTTTGGTTACAAACACAGTGACACGAGAATTTTATATATTAGAAGATAAAAATTAATATACTATATTGCTGATATAATCAGCAAGTGAACGGCGGCAACGATAACGGCTGGGTGCCGGCCGCCGAGTTGGAGAGCTTCAAGCAGGAGTTGGTGCGCGAGATACGTGCGCAGTTCGGACACATGAAGCGCGAGATACTGGACGGTGAGCGCACACACATAAACACATATATTATATACATATACTCGTATATAAATAAATAAATATGTTGGGACAATACCACACAGCACCATCTAGTTCCATGTTAAGCTACAAGGCCTGTTTTATGTATGCCAGATAGTTGATACACTACACGTATACATATACAACTTTAAATACATATGTACATAATTTAAATATAAACACCCATGACCGGAGTGCAAACATTCGTGCTCATCACTCAAATGAATGCCCTCAGCGGGACTCTAACCCGCGACCGCTAGCACAGAAAGTAGTTTCATTACAAACTGAGCTAAACGTGTCGTCATAATATACACACATATATTATGTACGATATTATGAAACTTGAAAATGTTTTAAATGGTGTAGCCTATAACTAAGTAGCGGGTAATATGACTAAGTACAACTAGGGAGGCTTGAGCTGATTGAGCTCAAAATTAAACACAATGCACATGTACATACATATTACATAATATATTAGTTCTGCTTATTATAATTTTTTTTATATTTACCGAGTAATTTATAGTTTTTTTTAATTATTCCAGCCATGAGGGCAGAGTTGGCTCGCAGGTAAGCTAGTCGCGGCAGACCGCACCGGTGGACTACACGCAAAAGACGAAAATACTATGATAATAATGTATAAAATAGTGTCTGTACGTTGTATTAAATGTACTCTCATGAGAATATACCAAGTCTGACAGATCATGCTAAAGATATGAATAATATATAGGCTCTATGTCATATATATGTATGTACATGTATCCATGACTGAAAATATTTAATGAAAAGTATGATGGAAAAAATAATAATGTGATGTTTTCAATTTTGAAATATTTTTCAAAATATGAAAAATCATGCTGAAGCCCCAAAAATTGAAATGAAAATATTTCACCGGAAAATCTATTATATGTTCTATTGACATAAATATATGTATGTGAAAGTGATGAGTCATCAGTTCACCAGTGTTGTCTGAGCATTTGTGATCGAAGTATGTATATTTAGGGTTGCCAGTAATCAAATTTTAACAACGATTTACATCTAATGTTGCCATAAATTCTGGTAGTTTTTTTTTTAAATGGCAACAATTTCTTAATAAGAAATAGTTTGCGCACGAAACGAAGCATAAAGCAAGTTGTGTTTTTTTTTTAATTTTATACTTAAAAAATATTTATTCGAATACGTATAAATGTACGTAGTGTGTAAGGTTATATGCTCTTTGTTATTGGTTTTTGAATGATTGTTTTTTTTTCTCTTTTTTAATCTATACATTTCCGACCTTCAGTTGTTTTCTTTAGTGTGTATATTTTTAAAATGAAAAAATTGTTCAAAAACCAAAAATGAAACAGATCAAAAATATGTATAATAATCGACTAGTGTCAAGTTATATCTAGTATTATTATATTTATTGGCTAAATCCGTTTATGGCAACACATTTTGTATACACATTAGCGTTTTTTCATATTATCGGTCTATTTAAACTTTTTTAAAATCTGTGTTGCCATCATACGGCTTTAGAAATGTAAGTTTACAAGTGTTTAAATAATTATATTTTGTCGGGTGAAATATAAAACATTCGGACGGCTTTCCATTAATTGTCTTCCACAAATGTAACTTCATGTAGCATTCCATATATATTTTTGAAAATATATTTTTATATAGTTTATTGCTGCGATGTGTTCTTAAAAAATGCTTAAATTAATCTCTTTCAATATCATTGTATATTATTTTTATGTAAGGCTTTTCAAATTTAAATTTACACAACACAAAAAAATAGGAGTTTAAATAATAGTTTTTATTAAAGACAGCATTTGTCATTACGCGGCATTGTTATATTTAAAATATCCACATTTTTTAAATTCAATTTTTAAGCATGTTTCCATTTTCAGTAGAGACCACAGGCCAAACTAGGTGTAAGTGCTTTTTGGCGCTAAAATATTTTCACCCGACATCTTATAATAATATTGTATCGCAATACAAAAGTTGTTGAAAGTACACATAAGTACATGCTTGAGTAAATCGAGCGATTCTTCTAGAGCCAAGACTGCGGTATTCGAACTGTATCAAATTTGCACAGCTTTTTATTATTATATGCAAATTTATCAAAAACAGTTGTTCTGATATTTGGAATGTTTTTTTTTATTTATAAAATCTAGGTATTTGATGGAAACATTACACTCTTATTCGCAGTCGTGCAAACGTCACGTAGTTTGTAAGGTCATTGACTGATATACCATTCCATGAACAAGTTCGTTTTCTTTCCACAAAAAAGCTTTTTTTTCTTCTAAAAAGCTTTTTATACAATTTGTAGTTTTTTTCTTCATTTTAATGCATAAGTAATGTATTTGTACTTTACATACAAGTTTTACTGATGTAGAAATAATGCCTAATGTTTTTTCATATACAAAAGAAACCATTTATTTTCTGGTGCTTTATTCTTTTTCATTCTTTCCTATCGACTGACGATGCATTTACGTTGGCAGTTTGTGATTTATTCGAATGAAGTCATAAACTCATAACTTAGTGATATGTATGTATTGTGTAAGATAAAAACTTAGTATTAAAATATAATATTAAAATTTAAACAAAAATAAATAAATTTGTGTTGGAATACTAACGTTTATACATTTTTGTATTGGTCTCACTTATGTCAAAGATCATATTTATTCATAGAAGGTTATGTATATTATATATGAATACGCCATTTTTTGATGATTTTTTTAAATTCGCCTAATATTGAGCTTGATTTTGTTTGCGCAAAGCTTGTATTTCTAATCGTTCTAAGGTTTTTTAGGTTCATATTTGAATTGTGTAATCATAATTTTTAATGGGAAACTAATAATTTGAATGGTTTCTACTGAAAGATTTTGAATGTTTATCCCACAATCGATGAATGATTATAATTTGTGATTAATCCAAAAATATGTTGATTATGATTAATCTTTAAACGTTACCGCTACGTTGCAAATGTACATATATTTGATTCTATAGCCGAGATATGTATGTTTGTCAGTATGTTTATAACTCGAACACTAGACAGTGCATTCTAAAGAAATGTGAAGATAACAATAATAATTGTGGATCAAAAGAGGTAAAAATAAATACAGGACGGTCAGAAGTTCTGAGTAACAGCTCGAGTATGAAAAAAAATACCTAATATCCTTTTTGTTCCATCAAAAACTAAGAAATGCCATAAAATATAGTATACTTATTAACAACAAAAATTAACAGTGAAATAGAATTTCTGTCATATTTAAAAAGTCATGGAGTCCAAGATTGTATAAAGTTGGTATGAAAAATCTTATCTATGAGTGATTTTTTCTCTTTTTTCGGTATTTTATTTTTTCAATTTTTTTCCGTAGCGGTAACGTCGTGAAGCGACGAGTAATAGTGATACTGTAGTGTACTGTGTACCGCGTAGGTTACCACGAGGCGTAATTGAACTTGTACTAATAAATAAATGGTTTGTAGTCACTCGGTTAATTGTAAATATTTACGAATTATATTTTTTGTGATCCATTTTTTGTTTTTTTTTGTACCTTTTTTCTGTTTTTTTTTTTGGTTTGTGATTTTTGATTTTTTGTGGCAATATTATTTGCATTCATTTTTAATCTACATATAATGTTAATGATTTTATTCATTTATAATTTAATAATATTATATTAAATTCATATTTTATATCCACACAATTGTATCGAGAGCATTTTCCTATATATATCATTATTTATCTCATATAACAGAATACATAATTATATTACTTTAACTAGCGATTCCTATAAACGTTACTGCGTTCATTCACAATATATGTATGTGTGTTACAAATTACAAAAATATTCGCATAATCGTTATGTATAAAACATACTTACATTTAGTTGAATTTAGATAATCGATTTATTACAAAGCAATTTTACAAATCAAATTACTAATAATGACTTTCATTTTACAATCGATAATAGAAAAATCGATTCACTAAAATCGACTGAATGTAAACGTCGTATCGATATTTAATTATATTATAATAAAATGAGTGTAAACGGGTCGATGTAAACGCCAACGAGAGTTTAGATCACTGCCAGTAAATAAACTAACTACAATATGGTTCTAAATTATTTGTTAGATGAAAACGTAGTTTCTACTTTTACCATATACTACATATATATAGATTAGCTACCGACCGGCGTTTACTGGAGTGCTTATTGTTGTAATGTACATATGCTGGAGTCAATAAATTGATACGTAAATGATATATATGGTTTGTTTTACTGTCGATCCTTGTTTCTACGAATGTGTAAGATTAAAATACCATGTATTCAGCCCTTTCTAACGTCCCACTGCTGGGCACGGGCCTCCCTTAAAATGAAATACCATAGCCCAGCTATACTCAACCTGCCGATATATACTATACAGTTATACTAGTACAGGTGCACCATTCCAAACAAATTGAACAGCGTTCATTCAGGCCATTATCCCACATATTTTGTTTGCTTGAATAGATGGCACTTATCCGCAAAATGTCGAAGAGATTTTATGCCATGCTTTTTTAGAATCTATTTTTCTTCTTTTCTTAATTTCACGCAGCTTTAATAACAATCCATATATGTATAATGCCATCTATCGACGTTTATTTGAACTAATCTTTTATTCTGATAATCGCTATAAAGAAACGAAACAACGTGTCGATAACATAATAATGTTTGTAAAAGTTTGAGATTCGAAAGGTTATAATATATAGGTGTAGTGTTATATCAAACGGTAATTGTGGAATATTAATGTAAATACAGCTGTATGAAATGTTTCTTTTATCTAAAATAATGTATTTTTTTCAGCCTTTATTATTGGATTAACATCGTTTTCCGCCATATAATGTACGCCTAAAATTCAATTCTACTAGGATTAAAATAAAATCTGGTAAATAATTTATAAAAAAGTAACAAGTCTATGATGTATAAAGAATAAAGCCATTAAAATTAGTTAAAAATTAAAATGGTGGATTTCAGGAGCTAATTTGTGTCTTTAAAAAAATATTTCTTCCAAACCAATTAATGGCGGTATTAAAATAAAGATTTTTAAGAGGTGATCACAAAAATATACACAACCACAGGTCATATTATAATACTATACGTAATATTGTCATTTGTGATGTACAACAACTTCAAAATGCTAAGTTTAAAGTTTGATAGAAATAATAAAAGACAACTTAAAAAAAAGGCATTTTAATTAAAAAGAAGAGAAAATAAAATTACAGAAAACATAATGCCAACATTTATAAATTATATGTATTTAAACATAAACAACTCGTCAACAATCTATACAATACATTGTCATGTACAAATCACTTGCTTTATTAACAAAAAGAGAAGAGTGCTGCTAATATTTGAAAAATTTTTTTTGAAAATAAAAATTTCTAATAAAAATTACAATTTCATGGAAAACCATGAAAACTTTCAACACATTGAATGTTTTTTTCAAAATATCACCAACACATCAAACACTCGTATAACAAAAACAATAAATACAAGAGATGAACTTAAAAACACGATTTGTAACTTGTAATATTTGAAAGCCCAAAGCATATTTCAAAAGTTTATTGCACATCGTTACAACAGATATTTGTGCGCAAGCGCTTATAACTAAAGTTTGGAGTTTAGAACTGTTAGATCATGTGCTTAGGCATAATATCTTAGAATTTGTGATGTTTTTATAAATGTAAAATTTCATAAATAAATAAAATATAAGTAATTTGTGGTAACCATATTTCAGTATTGTCGTTACTTCAAAGAGATGAGGTAGAATTTCCCCAATATTTTTGAACTTTGGCGTTTAAATTTTAATGGTAACATGATGCGTTGGAAATGGTTTCGAAGGTGGGCTCTAGCGATTCCTAAACTAACCTAACCGACGCCAATATGTGAGAGAAGCGGATAAATTTTCAATTGATTTTTTTTATATGTAAAGGGACACTACTTTTTATTCTTATAACTAATATTTCATATAACGTTTACATTTATAAATATATTTGTAAAAAAGCCTTCATGTATAAGTAGCGTACGGCGTACAGAATAATCAATCTTAATAAATTATAATTTAAGTAAATATTCATTTGTGTCGAAGCCGGCCAAGATCACAGCATTCTTATATTTTTGTCCGTGTACGGAGACGAAATGTAAGCCCTGGAATTAAATAAAAAAAATTAATACTATAATAAAATTCAAAATTGAGCGCAATTACAACATCTATTAAAATAAATTAAAAAAAAAGTGTTTGTGTACTAATGTACGCACGTAAGAAGTTATATTTCTTTGGCGTAACAGAACAAAAATAGCTAAAGATTTCATCCCGTATGTCACAACTCTCTGTTTGAAAAAGGAATGCAGCTAACTTCATCATGTCGCTTTTTAGCTGTTGGTGTGCGCGCGCATTGGAAAATTTCACTCTCATATTTTTTTCCAAATGTGCCAAAAGAAGTATAACTTCAAAAAAAAACAAATAAAAAATAATAAAATACTGTCATATAAAGTAGTATAAAACGTTAGTTATTATAAAGCACTACAACACAATACATGAATATTGTAAATAAATAACATTATTTTTTTGCAATTTTAAAATAATAATTTCTAGTTTAAATCTAAGTGTATTGGTTATACATAAAATTCACAACATGCATCCAAAAAATATATAAAAAAACGCTTTTTTAATACATTCTATACTAAATACACAAATAATTTCATTTGTGTAATTAACTATTAAAAATATAACAAAATTTCGATCTAAAGTCTCAAATTGTAATGTTATTAATGTTGCCAGATATTATTTGACAGGGCGTCCAAAAAATTTTTAAATATCATTTATTTCTAATATTCCCATTTTGCATATAAAATTTGTATTTTATTTGTTATATGTTATAATATTTAAAATTGGTAGTTTATATGTTATAATATTTATGTTTTATTAAATAATAATTTTTATTATGATTTATTTAAATCTTACTAGACTTTCAAAGTAAGGTTCATCTTTTGAACTATGAAATATATTATAAAAACATCAACCATCAATTTTTAATAAAAAAATGAAATCCTCTATATTTATTTTTTGGTCTATTTCTAGGTTTATCTTTGTAATACAATCTGTCGAATGACGATAATTGTCATAACTGTTCTGGTAACACTATATAACCTTTATAATAAAAAAAATTAAAGAGATATACACTTATTAATTTATAAGTAATAATCTCAAAAAACATGCCACAGCGAAAGCTAAATTATAAATGCGTCTACAGACTTTAGTACTTTCAAAGGACCTGTGATTATTATTCTTCCAGTCTTCCTTAGCTCGCTTATTCATTTAAAACAGGGAGCATTGATCTAGAAAATAATGTTTCAGTCAGTTTATATATAAATATATACTAAAATATGTATGTATTATATAAACTATAACTAGGCACGTCTAGTCGGCTTCTAACATGTGTGAAAATGTGTGTGAAAGCAAATAATAGAAGAGAAGCTGCGCTATGTATATAGTATAAATGTAATTCTATAAATAATTTAATATTAATATAATAATAATATTGATTTTAACAGCAGTAAAACATATTCTACAATATTATCACTAACATATGAAAATATATATTTAAATTTTTCTCCATTGTATAAAAATTATTGATTATTATAAATTAAATATGTGTCGTAAACATTATTTCACGCTACTTTCTATAAAAAAAGCAGAACTTCTTTTATATTTTTCGCTACTTGCCATTTCTCTTAATTTTTAAAATATTATAACAAAGAACACATAAAGAGCTAAGTTTAACGATTAAACTTTACATAAATATTTATTCGATCTAACATTAAATCACTATTGGTGAATGATTGCAATACATACATCACTAGCGCACAAAATAATCATACATATATTTAAGTGTATAACTGCAATTAAATTATAAAATTAATACACATATATAATAATTCAAACCACAATATTTTGGGTATATTGGTAGGACAAAGACGATTTGTTTTTTTTTAATGTATTCACTCACACGTGTACTTTTAAATTGCGTTTGACACATGCGCTAGTAACGCTCTCAAAGTGACATTGACAGATACATGACGTTGACAGAAGCGTGACATATTTAATAAACTACATGTACATGTACCTTCCACTTCCAAAGCTATGGGAATGGGACCTGGGCAGCGTTGAAAATTAAAATACATATAGCGGTAATGGGTTAGTTTACGAGATATTGGTGTGGAAATAGACAAATTGTTTTATTTAGGCCTGAAAAATAACTAAAAATTCAGAAATATGTGGGAAATTAGGAGATTAATTGCGTTTCATCGCGAGACTATAGTAAAATGTAATAATGGGTTGTTAGTAAGAAATTATGATATAAAAGAAACTTGCCGTTGATATTCTTTTATTATGAAATTTTAAATTGTTCCTATATTTTTATAATTTACGTTATACTGTTATATTTAAAAAAAAAATATTATGATTGCATATCATCAAATCGCATATCTCGTAAACTGTATGTTCCAGCCACTTAAAATATATTAAATAACTTTTAAAAAAAGTTATTCATTATTTTTAATAAAACTAGCTTCTACAAATTTATCGATCAAATTTGCTAAGCATGATTACTACTAATCAATTCTCACGTTAAATATTATATATATAAAATAGAATGGTAGTAAGGACATAGTTATGTAAATGGTGTGTACATTGCCGTTTTGTTTTTATATAAGATTTCATTAACAGCTATATTATTAGAAATAAAAAAAAACTTATTGATATACATAATTATATTATGTAAGTTTTGAAAATTGAACTGTGAATGAAACCTTTTTATCTATACTTACCTTTATTATACCTTTTATTAATTTTTATATACAAAGCCAGCAAAATAAGGCAGTTATATAATATATTATAGTTAATGATGTTATGGTCACTAGCTATGTTAAATAGGTTACCATTATTAAACTTTATTGAAGACTCGTATTCATGGAAGGCAACCAGAGCATAAAAATACAATAAATAAATATATATATATATTATAATATTATACAAATTACCTAATTTATATTAATTTCCATATTTAAAAACTTAAAATATCTTTCTAAAGTTGTTATAAGAAGTTAAGTTAAGTTATAAGAAATTGGTTTCATTTATTTCGCATTAGCAGCTCAATTAGCCCCAAAACTAAACTCAATATTCTTAAAGAAATTTTAATAAGACTACAACCGACATTCATTCTGCCTGATAAAAAAAAATTCTATGACCTACAATTATTCTGTCAAAAAAAAACAAAAAAAAACAAACCTAACTAAGTTAAACAAAAAAAAACATATTTTATCAAAATATATACAAAAAATTTTTCGATATGCCAATACCAAACGTCAGTGTCAATGTCAACGTCAACGCGATACTCACAGCTCCATGTCGTGCACGGTGGAGCGCTCGCAGCGCCCGGGCACGGCCACGTGGCAGTGTTTGTGGCAGCGCAGGCCGCAGTCGCGGCACTCGTAGCCCTGCTTGCCGAGGCGGCGCGCTATCGTCTTGTTGCACACGGTGCACACCGTGCCGCTGGGGGATGATATAAAAACATACATACACATTTTCTAACAAATATCTCTACAAAGAGAGGCATCGATATGCAACGTTAAGCCAAACGACACGTTTGCCTCAGTTTATAGTGACTTGTTACTCGCGGGTTTGAATCCCACTGGGAGCATTCATTTGTGTAATGAGCATGAACATTTGTACTCCAGTTACGAGTGTTTATATTTACAAATGTATGTATTTAAAGTTATATATGTGTAGTGTATCAACTATCTGTTATCCATAACACAGGCCTCGTAGCTTACCATGGAACTAGATGGTGGTGTGTGTTAATGTCCCAACATATTTATTTATAACAAAGTTTCATCAAAAACGTAACTCACCCGCTAAGATGTTTAGCGATGAAAGTGTGTTCATTGTATATATGCAGTTTGACTCCCTTCCGCCGCCATCTTGATCTCTGGGCTACAGTGAGAGGAACCAAGTAATGTTTCTTGATGCCCGCTTCAATGGTCTCCAGGACGAGGGTTGATGCTTCATGAATGAAGGTCCGAGCTGATGCTGTACTGAATCCAGAGACTTCACTGAGGGATGATCTACTAGGTTAGGTTTTGGTTCGAAGTGGGTTTTCAAAGGTTTTATGAGTTTTGAAGTTTTTAAACGGAAGGTGTGAAAATTGAAAATAATATGATAATGCCGATTGAATGATCGTAATAGCGTTATGAAGGGGAAATTGGAAATAATTGAAAGTTCCATGCGTAGAAATTAAAATAGTAAGAAAATTAGTATGAAATACCAATGTTACCAGATTGCAGAGTGCGTTTTTCCCCAGCGTGAGTGTTGCCAGATGAAAAGAGAGAAAAATTCACATTTAGTGCTAATGTTAAGAATATATTTATTATGTAATATTGATTTTTATTGATATGGCAAGACAAGCGCTACTTCAATCTTTTTTAAGTTTAAAATCGATTACTTTTTACATTATATTAAAAAACACAAATCAAAATAGTCTTGCCGTGTTAGTTTTTATTTTATATTATTTAATTGTTAAAATATAAGCCAATTACATATCTACGTTTTATACATTTTAATACAAAAAACAATCAAATGATAATTATTAATTAAAAAAAATACTTTTATATATTTTTTAACAAAATATGAATACATATGGCAACACCTATACTATACATACCTCCGGGAAGTCCTGGACTCGTCGCCGGACTGCGCGGGGGAAGCCCCGGCCGAGTACACGTTGCGATTAGGCAGAGTTAGCGCTTTGTCTGGAATAATAATAATTATTTTTATTAGAATTGTAAATAAAGTGTTTCTATAAATGCTCCAATATCTGAAACATCCAGTTCGATTTGAAAAAATCTTAACACTTAAATGTTAACTAATATTACGTCATCATTACAATTCTTTAGGAGCAGATGAAATACACGTATGTAAAGTAAGTTAAAGCTAGTTTATTTTAAAAAGCATTGTATTTCTTTATAAAAACCTTAAATTTAATATTATTCTAAATAAATATTCACATAGTTATATTTCACTGAATGTGCTTAGGAACATTATAATTTACATAAAAATTTCCATTGATATTACAATAAGTAAAACGGCCAAGTACGAGTCGGACTCGAGCACGAAGTGTTCCGTACCATTATCTATAAAAAAAACACGTTTGTTGTATGGGTGCCCCCCATAAATATTTGTTTTATTTTAATTTAATTATTTATTTTAAAATTGAATATATAACTAAATATTCCGTGAATATTTCAAGCGTCTACCTGTTACCGTTGTCAATATCGAGCAAAAACGAGCAAAAAAATCACGTTTGTTGTACGGGAGCCCTCTTAAATATTTGTTTTATTGTTTTTTAGTATTTGTTGTTATGGGGGTAATAGAAAAACAACATCTGTGAAAATTTCAACTATCACGATTTATTCATGAGATTACAGCCTGGTGACAGACTGACGGACAGCGGAGTCTTAGTAATCGGGTCCCGTTTTACCCTTTGGGTACGGAACTCTAAAAAAGGAGACGATCGACAATACTTCGAGTAATTATAATTTTACTAGTGAAATTACAATTAACGATTTCTCTGCGACATATACAATACACATTGCGTGTTCCGTGTATAGTGTACCTAAGTCTAAACTAAGTTTTAGACAACAAATCTCACCAAGACTATTTCGTTCGGCGCTAACACTGCGAATGCGTTGGTTTTCCAGTTCCGGGTCCTGCAGGTCTAACGACTGGCCGCGGGTGCGGGATCTACCTAATCTGGAATTAAAATATCATAATAACTATTAGCAATTAATAAAATATTTATAATAAAACTAGTGACGTATCCTTTATTCACTCGGATGCGACTCTGGATGCCCTTTTTTTATAATCTACATCAATAGATGAGATTTGCTCGGCGTAAAAAACCTGTTTTTTGTTATTATAAAAAAAACTCAATTTCTATATCTCTTCCAATGAAACGCCGAAACGACTAACGATATTGATCAAATTTTGAATTAAATTTTAAAAAGTAAAACCTTATCTAAACACAAAATTTGATCAAAATCGTTAGAAAAGTTTTAAGTTATCATATCCAATATTGATGCGATCCCTTTAAAATGTTGTTATTTATCTGCATGTTATTTAATTATTGGATATATGCTTCCAAAGACAGATACTGAATAAATAAACCGACCTGATTTTACATTAGATCTCACAACTTTTTGCGGTACTAGTTGCGAGAATTTTGATGTGAAACATCAAGTCATTTTTAACGTTAAACATCTAATGGCGCAGTTTAGCGGTATGTACGTGCGTACATATGTTAGTACACACACACGTATTCTTATCTTTAAAAAAAACTGAATATCTTGGATTTGATTATGCCATATTTACTTTTGCCTTTAAAAACCATCCTGTCATGCGTCATGCTTATTTTGTATACAAAATAGTTTCGATGTTTAACATCTGCTAGTCGTCCCGCGATGGCTTGATGGTGATCGTTTTTTTATATATTTTTCATGGGATAAAAGTAGTCCGAAAGTAAGATATGATTTACCTTCTCTTAATAGTGCCAAAGAAGTCCCGCCGTTTCTTCCTCGGCGCGGGCTCCGGGGGGGTCTCTTGATTCTTACTCACGTAATCGCCTTGCTGGAAATTGTTATATATATGCTTTAAAATACATATAACATATGAAAGTTTGTGAGTATGTCTGGATGTTTGTTATTCAATCACGCCAGAACGGCTGAACGGATCTGGATGAAATTTGGCACAGTGATAGATTATAGTGTGAAATAACACATAGGCTACTTTTTATCCCGTAAAAATGTACGGTTCCTGTGAAATAGGTTTGCTTTTGGTATCCTAAGGCGAACCCGAGCGAAGCGAGGGCAAGCCTCTAGTATTTAATAACTATATTACAAACAGTGAGTCTGATTAGTTCATATTTTATAACTTCAAAAAGTTCAATTAAAATTTGTACACCGATTATAAGTCGGATGCTTATAGAGAATATGCTTCAAAACCTTTTAAATAGAAGAGATTTTATTAGAAACTAATTATTAGAGATAAGAAAGGTTTATAAATATACAGGAGTTATAAAAAAATCGACATTAGAGGAATAGTGTTGTATAGGAATTCTTGCGGTTTTCGTACATCTCCTTGAGTGCGTCAATAAATTTTTAGGTTTTTAATTTTTATTAAAAAAATGTAGCATTAAAAACGTTACATTGTATTTAAATAAATTTTTTATCATGTAAATATAATAACACAATCACATGGTTTTATAGTTGTATTGATAAAAAGTTAGACGAAAGGCCAATCTTATTATCTCAACAAATATTACATAGATATTTAAATAAATAAATAAAATGAATAATAAAAATAACTATTTACAACATTAGCCAACATTAATGAAAAAAAAAACAACACTTATTTACCGTATCAGCATCGCCATTTGGCTTGGCGCCATTTTCTTTTATCCTTACACTTTTGGCGGGAGATTGGTTTGGTGTGGACGTTTTGCTTATGCTCTTGTCTATGTTGTCTGTGTCTTTGTCTATGTAATTATTATCTGTATCTTCTCTTTCAACTTCGATGAATTTTCCAGAATCCGTTAATTCCACCTTTTTGGGGAGTATTTGTTAGTATGGCAACACACAATTTGGCGTTAATTTGAGATTCAATTGTATTTAAAGAAATATTCATATAATTAATATTAATATTAATAAATCTCAAATTTAGCCCACAAAATGACAAACACATTTTTTAATTAAAAGACTAAACATGCTTTAAGTATGTACTTGTATGGGAAGTTAACAATTTAAGGTTGGTTTTCGATTAACAATAATCAAGCTAATATAAATGATTTGTATGAAAATAATTTTTATAATGCAAGGTAATCTCACCTTAATTGATTTCGGCTCCTGCGATGTTTCAATGAAAACATGCAAAAAACAAATTTGTTGTTACTCACTAAGTTAGACAAATACAGAAAAAATACCATTTTTTTCTGTTCTGTAAAAAAATATTTGCATGACTCAATTCAATTACTCACATCTTCCATTCAAAAAATGTATTCTATTACAAAAAATATGTAATAAAAACTAAACTAAAATACAGACAAAATAATAAAAACCAAACAACACACACAACTGTGCATACACAGTATCAAATGTATATAAAAAAAATATAAACCTTCACTCCAAAAAAATCTACATAAAATAAAAAAATACATAATATGTATTTTTATATATTATATAATACATACCCGTTGTACAGAATGTATGATGAGTGTGGATTTGTTGGCAGCACTCGTAGGGCTCAATTCTAGTTCTCGCAGAGCTGATTCTGTTAGTTGACTTGGGTCATGGCCTTAAAGTAATATAAAAAAAAGTTTTATAACCAAAAAAATATATATCTATTTTCATTTAGAAAATGATTAAGTATTTTTGAACTATCAAACCATTTAAATTTTTTTTTATTTTGCCTTTCTGTGGTTTATTGTTGTTTTTTTATTATTTATGTCTAAAATATTTTTGACAGCTGTGTTTGACAACGTTTTTTCAATACATATTTGTTTTTAGTACGTATATGTCTATACGAATATTAAAAAGAGAAAAGATTTTTTTGTTTGTTTGCTTGTACTGCATAAGCTCCGAAACCACTGGACCGATTTATATACATACGTAGTATAGTTTTTATACAGGAAATCATCCCTTCAAGAGGGTGAAAATGGAGATGAATGTTTGTATTGGGAATCAACCCAGGGACGAACCCGAGCGAAGCGAGAGTGAGTCGCTAGTATAGTATAGACATGCGACTTGCCCTCGCTTTGCTTGAGTTCTCTGGGTGCTTAACAGTAACTTGTGTTACGCCAGGTATCTGTGTAATAAACATGCAAATCCGTCCAGCCGTTTGAAGATGAAAGAACAAACATACATACATATATATACAACCTTTCGCAGTTATTTACCGTTTAAATAGTAATTTAGTAAGATAATCAACAAAAGTAAAAGCTAATTACCGTTTTGTTGGAAAGTGGTCTTAGTGGTAGTTGTGAGTCGGCCTTGAGGCGAAACTGTGCGTAAACTCTCTTTTATTTTGAACGGTTTGGATCCTATATCTGGTATGTCTGCACCTTCTATGAATAGGAACTGAAAATTAAAATTTTAAATTATTTTATTACTTAATAGTGTAACATATGTTATGATTATTTTTTTTGTCAAAACCAAAAAAAAGATAAAATATTTAGCTTATTAATCAGATAAAAATATCCATGAACCATAATTATTAAATTGAATACATTGTGAAATAATTACAATTATTATTACTTTTGGGTTTTTCACCCGGTTATATTTAAAAAAAACCACAAAAAAACGAAAAGTAATAGTATTATTAAAATCTTAAATTTTCGAATAAATTGAGAAAAAATCATATAATAATTGAGAATAATTGTTACAGAATCAAATCAATTAAACTTAAATCCATTGATAAATCAATTGATTATTAGGTTGATAGGTTAACTCACTTCAACGGTCAAGCTGCCGCTCACATCGTGCTCTTCCATGGGTCTGGTCTGGAGACCTATTTGTTGTCTTTGTGAAGGAGCCGCTAATAGTTCATCTATTCCGACCAGACCTAGACCTAAAAATCTGAAATAATCGGACAATTTTATAATGGTTAGGATTTAAAATCAATATCTTAAAATCTAAACATATTGAAAATAATTTTCTAATGTATATTGACGTAGTTTTATTTTATATAGTTCGAATTCGAGTCCAGAGTACCACAAATGAACTATATTATAAAAAGTTAGGTATCTATTTGAAAAAAAAAATTGTAATTGCCAAAAAAAAGGTTTTCGAGTCAAACTTTTCGTACTATTAGAAAGATCACAAATTTCAAATTGGGAAAGGACAACGTTTTTTGAGACAGTTACAGTATTAGCATAAAGAATAATAAATACCTATGTTGAGTGGTGGTGTTGCCAGGAGAGGGAGGACCGGTACGGTCATACACTTCGAAGAGCAGTTCCGCTGTTTGTGGTGAAAGGTCGCTGTGAAAATAATAATTGCAGTTTATTTCTTTTCTTTTGGTATGACATATAATTTTTTGTCTTTAGAAATTTTGACAGTTTAGTTTTAGTCATCTTTATTTCATGACCAAAATTAATTAAAAATTCTATTGCAAGCAAGTCGGAATGTCTGAAAACTTAGCAAGTTTTCGAAAGACATGTGAAGTCCTCACACTGGCTAGCGTGGTATTCTATCATTTACAGAAGGCCCGTGCCCAGCAGTGGGGCGTTAAAAAGGGCTAAAAACAACAAACAAACATATATACAATTTAATATCAGTTACTCACAAAAGGAAATGTTCTTCCCACACGGGGTTAATAGTGTCCTTTTTGAAGGCAGTTTGGTTTCTTTGAGGCGGTTCGTCCATTTCAACCACACAGTACGGCGCTACACAACCGCTTTTACCTAAAACGATATTATAAAATTGTATTCAAAACATTTTTTATAATGATATTACTTATCACCTCCAGGTAAATTTCTAAGAAATCAATTAAAATTCTAAGAAATCTATTATTGACTGACACGCCAGCGTGTCCGCGATCGTGGAGGGATTAATATTTTTGATATATTTTCATTTAGAGTACGGAGTCAACGAATTGGATAGAAATCCGAAATCAAAATAACTTGTGTTCTAGATATAAGCTATAAGCTACTTTTAATCAAGACACCTGAAGCCAAAAGCCGCAAGCGAAGCCGCAGACAAAAAATAATTGTCAATAAATAATAAAACATCAATCAATTTATCACCTCAATGATTGCTCAATACAATTTGACGATGAATCAATAGATTGATAGATTGATAAATTGATAGATACTCACCTCCAATATCTTTAGCTCCGACAACTTTAACAAGTAAGCGCTTTTCCCCCAACAATTGTATGCAACCCGCAGTTGAATTTGGGGTCGACGTGTACATACCACGGTCTGATTGTAACTGAAAATATATACATAATGATTATTATTTATTATTATTTAACTAAAAAAAATATTGATTGCTATTTGATTAAATAAATAGAGTTATTTAGAAGATAATGTAAATAAAATAAATGTCGATTTCGAAATCATTTTAAAAGTTTATATCATCGTTAGAAATGTTTTTTTTAGGAATATTATATTGAACCACCTTTGATATTCGAGAAGACTTCTTTCCAATTTCCATAAAATAGATTTTATAAAATATATTTTAATAACTAATATTCATCAAAATAAAATAGCTATTACATATTAAGTTTAAGGCAGTGGTAGACCAGTGGTAACGCGCTCGCTTGGGAAACCGAGTGAAGCGGGTTCAAATCTCGTGTTTTGCACCTCTGATATTCTCATAGGCGAATCATTTCCAACATGATTGATTACCACTTGTCTTACGGTAAATGGAAACAACCTGAGGAAACCTGCATGTCTGAGAGAACATAGCAAGTTGTCGAAAGACATGCTCAGTCCGCTCGCACTTGGCCAGCATGGTGGACCTGGCCTGATCCTCCTCATATCGAAGAGTGGCCCACCCCCAGCAGTGGGACATTACAAAGGGCTGAATACATATTAAGTGTAATTACCATAGAATCATAATGCAAGGGCAGTCTTGGTCCAGTATCATGAACATATCTCCGCAGTCTCGGACACGTGGGGTAGTGTGCGAAGTTGAAGTTTAGTTGTGTGCTTCGTAACGCACTTACTACTATATCACTGTAAAAGAAAAATAATAGTGTAAGTTTTCACCAGAGTCGCGTATGAGGACATACACGTCGTCAGGATGGTGTAAGGAAAGAGTGTAAGGTTTCGCTATTTTAATAATAATATTATAAAGAGGTAAGGAAGAAAGTATTATAAATTGATAATTGATTCACACATATCACTTTTGTCTCGTATGAATGGTCTCATAAGTACTTCATAGACGACCGTCGTGACGCGGTCAAGCACAAACCTACGAGTACTTTAAAATCTATTTATTTTATATTGAAATGCTGGAGGCAAATTGATGATGCTTATTCATTTCGCTAAGTCTTTTGTTAGCGAGACCTTGATTTAAGAATATATAAACTAAGTGTTATATAATATTCCCATTATTTATTTTGATACCTATACAAAAACTAAAAATGTCATACACAATTATCGTTTCAAAGGTGTCCTCAAAAAGCACATAATTCGTAATTACGCGCTTCTTTCAGAATTCAAATCTCTTTTGTTCATTACTTTTTGGATGATAAAAAACGTGTTTCGTTTAAAACATACTTCATGGTGTGTGTTCAATAAGAAGTTACAATTTTTGAATTCTATTCTTTGGTTTGACTTAACATCTTTTGAAGAAATATTTGTTAGGAAATGTGTAACTATGTTTTTATATATCAATGATTTAATAATCATGAATTATTAATTCAGTGATGACACGATAAATTATGCCTAGGTCATAATATACACCTAGAACATTATTTACTATAGTTTACATTATTGTGTTTTGAGCAAACCAGGGACATTTACATTAAACGTTCAATATATACATAAACCTTCAAATAAACAAGTCGAGTATAAAACTTCTTTATTTGTAGTCGGTCAAAACTTAAATACTTAATATCTCGCTTTGAACAACAACAATTAACAAATATGTCATAGAAAAACGAGTATTTAAACCACAGACCGAGCAAAAAGACTAAATTACAGAGTGAGTGCCTCTAATCAACGCAAATTATAAGTTGCAGTAAAAATGTATACGTATCTTAGTGTATAATTTATGTGACCTTGGTATATAACATAATTGAACGTTAATGAAAACGTTGTATTTATTACAGGCTAGTTGTTTTTTTTGTAAGTAAAATACTATAAATGTTTATACCTCTACATATACTCGTAACATAGAACTAAACACGAAGCCAAGCAATAATGTTGCAAAATAGTATAGGCACAAATGACAATTTGTATAGTGAGATAAGTAAATAAATTTTAAATAAAACTATTTTTTCGGATTTTTTTCGCGGATTTATTTAGATTTTTGGTTCCCGACGTTTCCGTTTGGTGCCATTTTTGTAAGTTTTTTAATTCATTTTGTTATTTTGTAAAAAGCTGTTATTTTGATATTACAAACAGACACTTCAATTTTATTTATCTGTAGGTACAGATGCAAAATATTCGCATAAAACTAAGAAAAGAAAGTATTATCTAAACACAGCATATTTACCTAACAAGTTGTTGTAAGTCAGATTCAGCGGCATTAGGCCGTAAGGGGCCGACTGGTGCGAGCGCAATTTTGACGTCAGGCCATCCGTCGCATTTCAATTCGCCTGTCAGTTTGTCTGTTACACACACTATGTGAAGACGTGCGCGGAATCTGTAATTACATATAGCTAAAATAAGTTAACAATTAAATTCTATAATAATAAAGTGACGACGTTCAAATATTTTTGTGAAATAATATTTGATAAGCATATCGTTTGTCAAACACATTAGAAAGTTGAAAGTACCTACCTTTATTTGTTTATTTTGTCTTTTTTTATAGTTGTTTTAATTTTTTTTTAATTGTGTATAAATATTAGCAAAAATCGACTATACATTTTTTTAAATGTACCTACTGCTTAAATATCGCAAGTCTATATAAACATAATAGAGTTGTAACAAGATGTTGCAGGCGTCCATAGGCTGCGGTAACCGCTTACCATCAGGCGGGCCGCATGCCTGATTGCCACCGACGTGGTATAAAAAAAAGGCAGTATATTTTATGTATTCATTTGCTTTATAGGCATTAAAGATGCTATGTTGCTTGTCTGCAATTTTAAAAAGGCTGAACAGATTTTAATAAAACTTTTTTACTATACCTATTAAGTTAATATGTATTACGAGCATAACACAAAGAAGTTAGTATAAAAATAAAACTCACTTGTTAACATTGACTCTGTAATGGGACACTTCTACTTTCTCACCGCGTTGACTGAACGCTTTCAACTGGAAGGCGGGAGTCGCTTCGCAATCACAGGTTATAGTCTGAAATATAATAAATAAACATACATACATACCTATATACATTTTTATTGTAATAAATGAGTACATAAGGGAAAGCTTGAAAGTAGCGGCAATAACAGAGAAGTTAAGTTAAAAGAAAATTGTTTAAGTTGGGATGGACATATGATGAGGAGGGATGAAACGTATGTGACGAGCAGAGTGATGGGGATGAATGCAGATGGATGGAGAGGTAGAGGAAAACCGAAGAAAATGTGTATAGATTGTGAGACAGGACATGGAAGAGAAAGGGGATGAATTATGAGGTGATCAGTAACAGGGGAGAGAGTTCATACAAAGTTTCATCCACTATTTTACCCCCTTATAGGATGAATTTCGAAAAATGCTAAAACATGTATTTATTTAATTTTATTGAAAAGTATTAATACCATGTTTCATGTAATTCTGATCATAATTTTTGAGTTGTATTATAACGTGTTTTCTCGTGGGAATGAGATTATCTCCCGCGATAAAATCTGAATATCGGAAACGGCTCCAACGATTTTCATGAAATTTAGTATACGGCGGGTTTCGGGGGCGATAAATCGATCTAGATTAGTTTTATGTCTGAGAAAACGCGTTTTTTTCGAAGTTTTCATGCAGTTTTCTTTTGCATTATTCCACACAAAATATGGTCGGTAATTTGCACGCTCGGGCATAAGCATCGTGGTCAAGCGGCCAAGGTGCAAGATCAACAATCACAGGTGTCCAGGTTCGAATGTCGATCGCATACAAAGTTCTTACTTTTGTTTTTTTAAATATTTATTCAAGATTTTAGATTAAAAAAAAATTGTACTTTAGGCCAAAAACTCCGGGCGAAGCTCGGTCGCCCAGGTACTAATATTTAACAGTAATGTAATAGCTACATTTAAATTTTAGGTACACCTTACACAATAACACTAACAAATAAACTTTAAATACATAGTATGTATTATTCTATAAGCTAATTACTACTTAAACCTTTCGCTGATAAAGTACTTTATAGTTTACATAACAATACGTTTATTATGTACATATACTTTTAACGATAATTATTAAGACTGAAATTAAATTCTCTCGTATTTATATTACACATAAAGTTCATTTTTTCTTAAGAAAATATTGTTCATTTTTAGTAAAACCTACGCTTTGAAAAACATGTCACATATTTCAGTAGAATACTATATGGGGATATAGCTCAGTGGTAGAGCAATCGACTGCAGATCGATAGGCCCCCGGTTCAAATGCGGGTGTCCCCTAAGCTCCGAAATAATTTTTAGCATGTTTTACAATTTTTTTCGGAATTTTCACTTTCAAAGACACTTCACACGTATTAAAACAAAAAAGTTTGACTAATAAGTTTTTGTACTTTAATAAGCAATGGTCAACATGACTAAACAAGATAAAATTAAGTTTAAATAAACATCACGATGCACGTAATATAGATAGTACGAGTACAATAAGTATATCAATACATATAATAAAATTGTAACTAAGCCGAATCTGTACATTAAATATTTTTTGGAAAATCTTATTGAAATAAACATTATTATCGACACAGAGGTTTTAAGAGAGCTTGAGCTAATACTAAATAAAAGCTATATCAATAATTTTTAGATATCTGACTGTAAAGCGCGAGAACTTAACCTGGTAATAATCTATTTTTCTAGTTCATTTGTATTATCATAAATAATAGAATTTTGATATCCAACTATATATCCTTTGAGCTTCTCTTCCGCTCTACACGCTCTCACAAATCATTATGTAATTTACTTTCAACAAAGGTATAATTAATAAAAGCTTCAAATATTTGTACTCGCGCGTGTTTATTGTACAAGCGTTCAATCTTATCGAATCCGCATGTTTTATTAAAAGGCGGGCAACATTGTTACGACCATCTAGTCAATTTGTCACAATTGAATCTTCCGCTTTTGAACGCTGCGGTTTCATATAAATGGACATTACATAATTATTATTTATTACACTATGAAAATACTTAGAGATTTTTTATTGCAAAAAGTTACTTAAAGAAGTTAAGTAACTTTTTGCAAGAGACTAACATTTTATGGGATAAAAAGTAGCTCATTACTTAGCTCTTTAGCCTATAAGCTAGTTTTATCTTACTACATAATAGAAGAACACACTAACAAACAAACATTCTAATTTTTAATATTAATTGTTATTTGGTAATTAAGAAATAGAAAAATTAACTAAACATTAATTTTATAAGTAAAGTCAATTCCAAACGTCCATGATTTTCATTACTTAAAATATATTTACTACCCGACACATCTGCAGTTCAATTAAACTCGAAAAATGTACACATACAGACATTAAAATTAAAAATGTCATATACACTAAGATCTAAGGGAAACTGAATTTATTTCTGTATAGCATGAACGGCTAATCAAATATATATTATTACTTAAAAACTTAAGAGAAAAAATTACAAATATACTTAATTATATGTATACGAGTATACAAAACATAGGTATACTTAATAATAATTACTGTTACAAGTCATGTCCGCGTGGAATATTGACAAAAATGCTAGCCGCGTTCCCCCACTGAATGGCAATGCCGATTCTTTGGGCGAAAAACGTGCCAGCTCACCAGTAGAGGCGATAAGACGAGGTGTTATGTCTCGAAGTGCTTAGCATTTTGACTCCTTTGACCAAGGGTTTCTACAGCTAATTAAAAAATTAAAAACTAATGTCTTACCACGTCATCCCTAGAGTCACACTCGCAGAACACATTGTTAATGTTTGGTGGGTTGCTGTCCAACGCGCGCACTAACTCGACCCCGACACCTTGCTAGAACAAAAATATAAAACATGAACAATTATTGTTTCCGTGTACTTGTATTATATTTATGTCGAATATAAATATATAGCAGTATTTGTAAATAGACATTATCTACGCTAATATTATAAACAGGTAAAGTTTTTAAAATTGTGGGTTTGGGTGTAAGGGTTTGTGAAAATTCTATGGTTTTTCTTCGACGTAAATGTGTTTACTGTCAGAAATCGTAATAACTTTATTTGAAGACAAAAAAAAATGTTATTATTTCTATGATCGGCTTGCGCTACCTAAACGGTTTGAAATAGAGTATATGGCATCAAGTGTGTGTAGGGAGTGGTGGCCCAGTATCGCGCTCGCTTGGGAAACCGAGTGAAGCGAGTTCAAATCCCGGGTCTTGCACCTCTGATAATTTCATGTGCGAATCATTTCTAACATGATTAACACTTGCCTTATAGTGAAGGAAAACATCGTGAGGAAACCTGCATGTCTGAGAGAACCTAACAAGTTTTCGAAAGACATGTGAAATCCGCCAACCTGCGCTTGGCCAGCGTGGTGGACTATGGCCTGATCCCCCTCGTATTAAAGGGTGGCCCGCGCCTAGCAGTGGGACGTTAAAGAGGGCTGAATGGATATGTGGCAACAAGACACCATGGATGCACCCGACGCTATGTTTAAAATAACTAGGCAAGTCGATAGCTATTTTAAACATATTTTTTTTTAATAAAAATGATATTAGGATGTATACATATTTGCTTATAGAACCGTTATTCTTATCTTCCACTCTTAGATGGAATAGGAACATGGTGGATGGAAAATTCATGTTAAAATATAAGCCTCAATTTAATTAAACAGTTGTATCAAATAATAATTAAGTTTGTATGAACGTAGTTATGCAAAATAAATCCAACCATAAATAAACAAAAAAATATTTCTATTGTAATCAATGTAATTAATTAATTTAATTAAATCAAATGCAAAAAAATAATGACATTTACGAGTGAGTGTATACGAGTATATAATAAAAAATATATAATAATTGAAATAACATTTTTATCAATAAATACAAACGGTATGTTAAGGCACTAACATTCTTAAATTTATTTAAATAGGTACTAGCGAACTTGACGTATCGTTGTAGATGGTAGGTCCACCACTATTGAAAGTAATCTGAAGTAGTTATTCCCATACAATATAACCAGTTCTGAACTTTTCGATTTTCCAGCTGTTCTTATCGATTTTTCCTAATTTTTTTTTATATTTAAACCATTCCTGATATACCTTCAACAAAACAAAAAATGAATTATTCAAATCGGTTCAGCTGTTTTTGAGTTTTAGCGAGACTAACGAACATGGATTTTTATATATATAGATATAGATTTTAAAGAAAACTGTCGTTTCGAATTTTTTCGCGATTTGGCGGTTAATTAGTTTTATTTAAAATGTCAAATATTCGCGTTAATCTAAGAGAGTATTTATATATTACTAGCGACTCACCCTCGCTCCGCTCGTTTCAGCGTTTAGCATAGATTTCTCAGATATTAGATATTTTCCCGCAGTAAAAAGTATCCTATATGTTGAACTGGATAACCAGCTATCATCATACCAAATTTCATTAATGTTCAGTAGTCTTGACTCAGTTAGAGTTTTATTATATGTACATATAGATTTGATTTCAAACATATCAAAACTCAAACAGTATAAATATGACATTAGCTAACTTATTTAAGATATTTTAGCTAAAATAAGAATTTAGCACAAGAAACTCGTAATATCTAAATACCACAGCAGAAATTCTATTCCTGTCCACCAGTTTTACGACCAGCTCTTTTAAACAACGCAATAAATATTTACCAACACTCAGAAGATTTCTTCCGGAAGGAACTAGTTGAGAGCTTTATTTACCTTAATTTCACTAAACATATTTGAGTAACTTAACTACTAATTATAAGCATTATTTTTCCCAAGAGACAGTATATTTATTTATATTAAAATCGCATCTTTAATAACAAAAATAGACGCCTCTAGCGAAAATGTACCAGCGATTATGAAATAAATAGTGCAAGATCATACATAAACGACAGAGAAGCAAAATTAACTTGGATGTAGTTGCCTTTTACTGAAACTAATTAAGAAGTCTATGAAACAGACCAGCGACCGTGAATGGAGACTGGAAGAATATAATGCATGGTCGCGATCCTCTTTAGGGAGGTAACGAGGAAGAAGAAAATTGGATTTTCATCCAATTGCATTAAAACCTATTTGATCAGATTCAAGCAGAAAACATATAGAGCTATCCTCGTCGGTAATATAAATAGAAGCTTATAGAAATGCATCAGTGGTCTCGTGGTTTGCATATACGGCCATAAATCTTGATGGAGGTCCTAGGTTCGAGTCTTAGGTCGAACCAAGTTTAGTTATTAAGTTTTTTTGTTAAAGAATTGAATATACATATCTTTGTTACATTGCTTAAACGGCTGGATGGATTTGGATGACATTTACTGCACACCTAGAAGACTATGAGTTAATTACTTTAAAATTTTGGTGTATAAATAAACAGCTTAAATTAAGTCATAATATATATATATATATATATATATATATATATATATATATATATATATATATATATATATAATATATATATATATATATATATATATATATATATATATATATAATTTTACCTTTGTACTTGATAGTGCTTAAGTAAATAGTAAAAAAGACAGCTGCAATTAGAACTTGAAAGTTTACGATTCTATAAATTAGGCCACTGCATTGCAGGTAGTGTAAACCGTAAACGTGACTTAAATACGTGCATTATCTATAGCAAAACTGCTTGTCACAATAAAAAAAACTTTTTATTTGTCTTGATCAAGAATAATAAACTTTAATGTAGAGTTATACTTGTAATTTATTTATTTTTTACAAGGAACCAGAGCCAGCTTTGCTCATGGTAATGTGCTTTTTTATAGGACAAAATCGAGATAAGTTGAGTAGTGTTCATTTAAAGTTAATTTTTTCGGACAAAATTATTTTGATTTTTGAGATTAATTTCAATAAAAGACACCCTCATATACGAAAATTCAGTTCTCATTTTGCATTCTAATGTCTCTACCAGAGAAAATTGCATACCTCTTAAAGTACCGTAGGGACCTGAACCCAAGTATAAAATATACATTTGTAGGTATATGTGCATTGTACATACGAGTACATTCAACGAAGCCGAAATATGAATGTCAGTACCTCGGAACGTAAAATACAGAATTTAAATGGGGTTCGTTAAAAGTAATCGTGAGTCGATTGTCAGTTCTGAGTCATTTAAAAATAAACTTTTAAGCTATTAAATTAATTGGCGGAAAATGCGTGGCGTTGTCCGATGCGTTAAAACGAAAAGTACACGTTTATTCCACCTATGTATTGTCCCGTAATGGAGAGTGTGTAACGTCATTACATCAAAATAATAATTAAAAAGACACGTCTGGAGCATGCTTTATGCATCCTAAGACAGTTGTCAAAACATTTCGAGAAAGACGTAGAAATTACTTGAATTTAGACAAGAACAGTTGATTATAAATTGCCGTGTAATTTCATGGTAATATTTTATAATAAAAGATAAAATACACTTGATTTTTTAAAATCAATAGCGGCGTTCATTTATTAAAAGTTTTAGGAGAACTGCATGCAAATTCTCTCTGTTTATCCCCTAAAGTATACGAAATGTACGTTTAGGAGGATGGATGGATGGATGTATGTTTGTTACACTTTCACGCTAGAACGGCTGAACGGATCTAATTTGGTATTGAGATAAATTATACTCTGGAATAGCACATAGTTTAATTTTTATCCCAGAAGAATGTACGGTTCCCGTGGGATAGATTTGTTTTTGTCTAGCGCTTTTGTGAGTCACTAGTAAATTATACTAGTATACTGATAAAGATCATTAATAGAAACTATTCATACGACCAGCTGATTCAAACAAATATAGAAACAAATACGATAACAGAACTGAAATGAAACTATTAAGCATCTATATATCTCTTGCCAATAACCCCTGAATGTTGGCAATGGCATAAAAACTATTAAGTTGGCAACACGCCATAGCCATTGTCAGGGGAATGTTGGATCGATACTACGAGTACTAAGAATCTAAATAGTTATGAAAATCTCAAGGGTTAGGTATTAGATTTATGTTTAGTGGGTAATTTTTCCAATTTCATTTGGATACTCAAGTACGTACCTAAAACCTTGGCTAAAAACGAGCAAACCAACATCTTGTATAAGCTACTACTATATATGTAATTATTATTACTATTTTTATAGTAAGTTTTTTTTAATTCAATAAAGAGATCTGCGCGACATAATTAATATAGGTACATATTAATTCCTCATTATTCTTTAGTTTTTCTCAAACAAACAACAATAGACACACAAAATATGTATATATATAAATATTTACGTGCAAACCGACAGTAATAAACAACTCGCGAGAGACGACACCGAGTCTCGTATATTTGACTCCATTGACGCCAGAACAATTTATTACCAAATAAATCAGTCTACTGGAAGCTTATGTTATTACTTCATTAATTTCAGATTTTACAGTAAAAAAATAATGACTATGAGGATCATGATACTAACTAAAAACTATTAAGCCAATTTTTAACCGACTTCAAAAGGAAGAGGTATCGATCATCGTTTTTTTTTTATGAATAGGTACTACTTCAAGGGTTGATCGACCTGCTCCGTGAGAGGTGACCTATTTATAGGTATATATTTAGAATAAATATAAAGGTAGTGGTAGCCCAGTAGTAACACGCTCGCTTGGGAAACCGAGTGAAGCGGGTTCAAATTCCGGATCTGGCACTTCTGATATTTTCATGTGTGAATCATTTTCTAGCGTGATTACCACTTGTCCTACGGTGAGCATCGTGAGGAAACCTGCATGTCGTAGAAAACTATGGCCTCCTCGTATTGAAGGCCCAGCAGTGGAACGGTAAAACACCTTTTGTTTT